TGTGAAGCTGTCACGTGCTTACTTCCAAAGGTTTGCAAGGAGATCGATGGACGTGGAACATGTGTGTGTTCAACTGCATGCCCCAAGATCCTTCGCCCCGTGTGTGGCTCAAATGGGGTGACTTATAACAATGAATGTCTTCTCAAAGTTGAAGCATGCAAAACAAACAGCGAGATTACAGTCGTGAGCCAAGGTCGTTGCCCTAGTAAGTAAGAGATTTGTATTTTATTTATATATATATATATATATCGATTGTAGTTGGAAGCTGAGTAAATACGGCCATTGGTACTGTAAATACTGCGACGGCCTGCGTCCTGCGTTCTGATTGGTTGAATATCCGTGATTAATAAGAGTCTATACCACTGTTATACCACTGTAATGCCACGGTCGCGCACACACCGTGCATGTTTAGATTTCTATCAGTATACATTGTGTTTCGTGTGCAATKTTTGGGGAAACTGGTGAAAGTGGAAGATTGGCGATGTAAATACTGCTAGCTAGAGCTATATAATTAATATAGCTGCATGTATACTAAATTTATAGCAATAATAACATATAGCGTAAAACGAAAATTATTCATACATTTTTCTTCTGCGTTTTTCCTGACAGCTGGATGCGCAGTTATCAGGTGCGCAGCTCCCAGAGTCTGCGAGGAGGTAAATGGTGTTGGAAAATGCGTATGTCCATCCATTTGTCCTGCAGTATTTCAGCCAGTATGTGGATCAGATGGCAGGACGTATAGTAACCAGTGTCATCTTGCTGCTGCTGCATGTAACAGTAATAGGACCATTACAGTGGTTAGCCAAGGACCTTGTCYACGTTAGTATTATTCAATGTTTTAACGGCAAAATCGTGCAAATTGTGGCGCAACACTGATGTTACTCCGCGCTCAGCAACCTACTTTTTTTGCTTAATTTAGAAGCCAGTTAAAACTCTTCACAGTAAAGAAAATTAGTTGCGCGCGAAATAGTAATATGAAAAATTTAAATTGGTTAGTAACGTATGAAGCTACAGTATTGCGCAACCATTTGCACCAATTTTTGCCAGTGATTGTTTCACCTTTTTTTATGTTGTATTTGCATACTAAACAGCGTTAGGTTTAMCAGAATCTCTTATTTCATTAAAAGACCTCGAAGCAATCTAAGCTGCAAATTTTTAGGGTCAAAATGCTGCGCGCACAAAGAAAAATACAACGTTCACTGGACTATTTGAAAGGGCTAAAGGCAAAGCCAGGAAGCGGTTATTCCACATTCTCTATCCTACCACATCCATATTAAATGAAGTGTTTCATAGTCACCAGTACCAACACAAACTTCGATTTTTGATGAAACTAGTTTAACACACTGGGTAGGATACTCAAAAACAAACTCATATTTTATAGCCATCACTTCCCTCTTCCGTAAGTTTAGTTCCACACGCACTACCACTACGTTCATTATAAACAAAACACAACACTCAAATCACATGCTAATTCTCACAGAGGGAGGAAAATCACATCGGAGAACCCGGAGAAAATCCTCGTGRCAAGGGAGGGAACGACACATATAATTTGACATAAGATTATCTTTATCACCAGTACCAACACCAACTCCAACTTCAGCCCCAAACTGCGACCCTATCATCTGCGCAAGCCCTAACGTCTGCAAATTCGTCAACGGTCAGTCCAAGTGTATTTGCTCGAAGTTCTGTACCCTGGAATTTGCGCCTGTGTGCGGCTCAAACGGACAGACTTACCCCAATAAGTGTAATCTACGCGTGGCGGCTTGTGAGGCTAACAAGAGAATCACAGTAGCAAGTGAGGGGTCATGCCCACGTGAGTATTGTTGATTATTTTAATGATTATAAAATATTAAAATATTCTACTATAGTGAGGTTTGGTATGACTGTGAGTATACTCTTCTCAGAAGGACATTCATCGACGTGATAAAGCCACATACTCTCGATCGCATTGATCTTCATATACACCTATTTCAAAAAACGTCGGTGGATATCTGAAATCAGAAATCTGAGACCGATTGGAATTGTGGGGGACTGAGTGTGTTTCTCGTTAAAAATCCAATATATACTTACCCAGATAGTTTGCCAGCGCAGATCATTGCTCAAAGTTGGTATATTAAGATATTAACTTTTTGCGAACTACTAATCAAAACCACAAAACAATTTACAGCTTACAACCCACAATTCCTTTCGGTCTCAGATTTCGGATCTCCGACCTACAATTTTTTTTAAAAAGGTGTATATATTTAGTATTTTTACACAAGTGAATATAATAAATCCGGCTCGCTCATTGGTCACAATTTACGTCTTATGCTGTTATATTCACCTGCGCGCATGCGCACGCTCATTTGTCGATGTGTGCCGCTTTCAGAAATAAAATAGAATTTGAAGGGAAGAACCCTCTCTCTCCGATATTTATCAAATTCACTTGTGTTAAAAATACTAAAACAATTATAATATTGGGAATCAATCAATTAGGATGGTGTAGAGGCCTGCACTCGCCTCTCACTTCTGGGGTCTCAGGTTTGATTCCGAAGATAAAATATGTTATCCAAAGCCGGATAAGCACTATCTTCAAAATAAAAGCGCTGTGCAGCGAATAGTTATCAGAATCGTACCATCTGGATAAAGTTTATCCGCAGGATAAGCTTCAGCTTATGGTTTATCTTTTGTCCAATCAACAGCCAAAATCACTTGCGCAAACGTACTTTGTACGATTAATACGGTATGCAAGATGATCGATGGCAAACCAGTGTGTCTCAGTTGTCCAGATGTTTGTCCCGAGATCTACAAACCCGTTTGTGGTTCCGATAAAGTCACGTACGACAATGAATGTAAAATGAAACGTGCAGGCTGCAAAAAGGGAAGGATTATTACTGTGCTGCACAATCGACCTTGTGGAAGTGAGTATTCGCGGGAGYCGGGAAACGCGATAAAATATAGTAAGGGATCTGTGAAACTAGAAGAAAATCTCACATGATTCGGGATATTGGCATCGGCCGTGAATCGGGAATTGCCGAATTCAATGTTCGGGATGAAATAGCTGTATATTGTATTCTATTATGAGTATGAATATACTTGAACTATATGGATCATGATATGAATCCCTAACTTATAACGAGGCTAAACATTTATAAATGAGTCTGTGTTCATCAAAATCTACGGTATACATCAAATAAAAAACAACGACGTTAATTTTTGTTTTGTAGAAGTTTGCTTCAATTATAAGTGTGCTTCGCCACCATACTCCAAGTGTGAGAACATAAACGGCCATCCAAAGTGCGTGTGCAAGTTCTTTTGTGACAAGAAGCAAGATTTGGTCTGTGGTTCGGACGGCAAGACATACAACAATATCTGCATCATGAAACAAAGAGCATGCGAAGCTAAAAAGAACATCACTGTCGCGAGTAAAAGCTTATGTCATAGTAAGTTGACATTTGTGATATTGTGCCTGACTCACAAAAAAAAACTTCTAATGGCAATAGAAAAGGAATAATAGTCAAGGGAACGACATGTGGTCTGAAATGGAAAAACATTGTCCAAACTAAAAAGGTCAATAGAAGAAATAATACTCAAGGGAATGGCATGTGGTCTGAAATGGGAAAACATTACGCCCAAAGTAAAATAGTCTAGAAAAGAAATAATACTCAAGGGAACGACATGTGGTCTTAAATGCGAAAACATTCAGGAAAATGATGAAATGATAATCTTATTCTTTATCTCCTTCAGATCCCTGCTTTCAGTCTCTTCCTTGCAGCAGCCCTCCATACTCATTCTGTCGTCCCGTGAACGGAAAAGCAAAGTGCGTCTGTAATAAAGTTTGTCCAAAGATTTACGCGCCCGTGTGTGGGTCGGACGGGAAGACCTATAGTAACGAATGCATAATGAAGGCAACTTCTTGTCGAAAGAATAAGAAGGTTACTGTGAGTAGCATCGGCAAATGCATCAGTAAGTATGGATAATTGGATTTAAGTAATATAAAACGTGCGCCCTTGTCGCTGTACGTATACTGTGATATAAACACGCTGGGAGCTGCAGAGCGCTAGAGAAGYAACCTTAGGAGCCCGACGAGGCGTATTAGTGAGTATTTCTCTTGTTTTTAAAGTGTACTTCAGCTTCTAGAGTGTTTATATCAGAGTACAGAGACATAAGCAGGGTTCRATCTGTGAGTTAGCCATGMCCTAACTTAGATCAGCCCAGAGGTTGTTTCATGGTTCAGTCTNGGTTCAGTCTGTGAGTTAGCCGTGCCCTGAATTAGATCAGCCCAGAGGTTGTTTTAGGGTTCAATCTGTGAGTTAGCCATGCCCTAACTTAGATCAGCCCAGAGGTTGTTTCAGGTTTCGATAACTTTCACATGCCACGTTCCTTTGTTGTTCAAACAGATCCATGCCTGGCCCTTAAGTGTACTAACTACGCTACTTGTGAAGTGCAGCATAACGAGGCAGTGTGCGTCTGCCCAAAGGCATGTACAAAGATCATCAGACCAGTATGTGGGACAGACGGAAGAACATACAACAACAAATGCCTGATGAAGGTTGCTTCATGTAAAAGAGGCAAGAAGAAGATCAAGGTCAGAAATGAAGGAGCCTGCGTCATTGAACCCGTATATTGAGTAAATGATACAAGGTAACTTTAATATTTCGTATTGTATACACCTATTTCAGAAATCGTTGTCACACCAAAAGCCTCAGCAACAAGCCAAGACCGCAGAGAACGCCTGTACTTTTAGCTGTAATTAGTTTATTCACGGTACATTTTCTTTTATTGACCTCACAAATTGCTMCAAGCAAGGCTGCTTGAGATGATAATTAGTGTAGAGCTATAGCCACTTGCATGAACCATGAATAGGACGTTTGCATGATGGCGTCATTTGACTCCCACTACCAAGATGCTTCGCGAATTTTCTTTCTTATTTAAATTTGTATTCCCTCATGRGAATAGTGAGACAATTGGTGCTAATTAACTGAACAAAAGAAAGTGTGCAAGGGAGTCTGGTAGTAGAGGTCAATGACGCMATCATGCAAACGTCCTATAKATCAATTATAATTAAAAGTACCGACGTTCTTTGGAGCCTTGGCTTGTTACTTGAGGCTCTTGGTGCGCAACGATCTTCGAAATAGGTGTATATGTTTAATTATAGAGTACAAACACTAAATGTGTGCAACAGTTATCACTATTTAGCAATAAATAGTACTAACTAAACAAAAGAAAGCAATATAATTAGCATAAAATAACACTATTTAGTGATATTTATGTTGCCCACTTTTCACGGGCTAAGTAAAATCATTCTACAAAGAGTGAAGGCATTTAACCCTTGTAACAAAAGATACTAGTCAACGTGTCAGTCAAATTGACTCAAAAGAAGGCAATGGAATTAGGGGCTACTAACGTGCATTAGTCTAATATCTATTTCACGAGTTTAATGACTTCACTCTATAATGTTTCAATCTATTTTCTAGGCCCCTCAAATGGACAAGATGCCAGTATCCTTTAGACACAATTTGCTAAGTGTATTTGTTTACTTTGCTATTTAAAGTTAAAGGACCGGTCATTATTAACCGCTATAT